AAATAAATAAATAAATAAATAAATAAAAGAGTATAATAAGGAAATAGCCCACATTTGAATTTAAAATCAAGGTTACCAAAGCCAAGATCACCAAAAATATAAGATATCTCTAGTAATATGAATGGTTAATGATTGTGTGCTTCCCAACTCTCAATTACTTTCTCTTGTTCCCCCTCTCGTACCTTAAATTTCAACTCAAACTAGAAAACATGATGCATGAAATAGTACTATTGGGGAAAACCTTTTTAATAAAAAAGCTATGTTGCATTACAATGCATTTCCATTTTTAACATCTGCATGATCTTGAGCCTTCCAAGGCTGTTTGCAATCACAGTACCCACCAAAGAAATGAGGCAGATTTATCATTGTAAACAACTACATTTCTAAATGTATATATAAATATATATAAAAATATATATACATATAGTATTTTTAGGGAAGGGTCTACAGGATGTTCAGGGTCTCACTACTAGGTCAGACTTGTAGTGATTCTCCTGTTTACAGCCTCCCAAGAGGTGGGATTACAGGTGTGCGCCACCACACCCAGTCTCAATTGCCATCTCAGCACACCCCAGGGGCAGAGCTGACTCAGTAGACCCCGGGATCAACCCCTCACCCCACCCCCAACCCTAGGCCTGCTTGCAGGTGCTTTAATCTGCTGAGCTATTTGGTCAGCCTTACTAAACTGATATATTTAAGCAAGCTTATTTGCCTCATAAATCTTAAGACACAAAAAAACCCATATCTTATGCCACTGTACTGTGAATTCATTTTCTTATACACAGTAGTGTTATGTATCAAATTGTGGTTCTTAATTTTTATTTTTTATTTATTTTTTTTACAGGGAAAATTATATATTTAGAATTAACCAGCTGGATTCAGTTTAGATGATCCCAATTTTGTTGGAAACATCCTATGCATCATAATCGGGAGCCAGTCAAACATATGCCTTCTTCTCTCCGTCAGGCCTGATTAGGGTATTGACCTTGGCAACATCGATGTTATAGAGCTTCTTTACAGCTTGTTTGATTTGGTGCTTTTTGGCTTTGACATCCACAATGAACACAAGTGTGCTCTTGTCCTCAGTCTTTTTCATGGCTGCCTCTGTGGTCAAGGGTACTTGATGATGGCACAGTAGGCAAACTCATTTCTCCTGGGGGTGCTCCTCTGAGGGTATTTGGGCTGCTTCTGGAGTCACAGTGTCTTGGGACAGCAGAAGGTGGGTGACGTTGGTGTCTTCTGCTTTTGTGGCTGTGGATGCTTTCAGCACGGCCTTCTTGGCCTTCAAAGCTTTTGCTTTGGCTTCAGCCACCTTGGTACAAAGGCTCTCTCAACCCATTCTTAATTTTTAGAGAAAAAAATGTTTAATACAGTACTCATTTGGTTACAACTAAAGAAGAAATTCAACAAAGTGCTAAGTATACGCAAAAGTTCAATTCAGAAAAACTGTTTTTCCCTAGTAGCCTTTATTAATGGAATCCTAAATTATAGCAATTTTAGATTCCAAATTACCAGTTTTCAGATTTTGAAGCTAAGTTCAGATACATACTTTGGCATAAAAAAGATGACTTAAAAACTAAATTTTGTTTTTGACACGAACTATTCCTTAGTATAGAACATAAATTTAGTATAGAAAACAGCATTCCTACATACAAAGAAAAAGTCAAACTTTCTATGTGTTAGAGAAATACATTTCATCAATATGTGAAGATTACAAGTATGTTAAGCTGCTTTTAGCTGGCAAATGGCATCTAGATCCCACGAAAAGAAAATTTTCTTTTTTTCTTTCTTCAAAAGTAATAAGAGTATTTCTATTCCCATAAATATTTGCATATATGCACGGACAACAATATATCTTTGAAATAAACCATGACTCAAGGGTTGCCTTTATAATAAGAGAAATTTTTATGGCCACTGGTTGAAAATGTGTTAATCTTTAGGTTAAAATATTATTTTTTTCTATACAGCTGAGATTAATTTGTCACAATAAAGCTCAAATCACCTTAAAATTGAGAAAATCCTTTAGAGCAACACATGTTTCTGTTTACAATGCTACATGAAACTGCATTCCCGATTACATGTATCATTCTGATAAAGAAAGCAAAAAAGAAGAAAGGAGGGGAGAGAGAGGAACGGAAGGAGGAAGAGAGAGAGACCAGCAGCATAGAAAATCAGGTCACTTGAAATCCAATACTCTGCACTAAGGTATGACAAAAGTTGCGTACAAGTCCCGTCTTTCCATAACATTGCAGACATATGCACACCTAATGCAGATCTCTTTAAAATAGCCTCCTAAGTGTTTTTTGTTGTTGCCATGCAAAAATGTAGAAGTAACTAATATATTCTTAATGAAGGAAAAAAAAATCACAAAATAAATCTGCCAAAAATATCTGAGTCATTAACACAAGAATAGCTTAGTATAGGTAACTTTTTAAAGTATGGTAACAAAACTCTCCAACTGGTATTCTAATTGGTATGATCTATTTTAATTGGTATCATCTATTTCTCTAATCAGAGAAATCACATTGTTTTATTCCTTCCTGATTCAAGAAAATCCCATCTCTTGATAACAAATTGAAATAACTTTAACTGCCCATACCATTTCTCAGTTTTTGGTATTGTTTCCAAACAAAAGTTTGTTCAAAATAACTGGGACTAGCAAACACAGAATTGTACTTTAACAATGTTTTCTATCCATACTCTGGAAGGTTAAAACACACACACACACACACACACACACACACAGAGGCATGCATGCACACATAATCAGTCATTATCACAGTGCATAACAAATTCTACATGGGTTTATTAATTCTTTAGCCAGATGAAGCAACTTTTATTACTAAACTAACTACAATCACACAAAGTATATTGTTTAATGACTCACACTATCACATGACCAACAGATATGTAAGGGAGAGGGGAAAAAATGGCCATGTGTTCCAACCTCTGTTTATCTAAAAATCTTCACCTAGTCATTCCTCATGTTTCAGAGACGCCTCTTTCTGAGATAATCAAGATACTTCTACAACAGGGAATTTAGATTTAATTACCAAACTTTAATATCATGTTATATAGGTCAAGTGAGGATGTGTAACTTTCTCCTGAAACAAAGGGATTCAGAGTAATAGGATTTCAGATTTCATAGCAGAAACAGCAAAATATGTTTGGAGAATGTCATTTACTGTAACACGAATCAATATTAAATGCTTTATGCAGGAAGCACACTGAGAAAATGGGCCTTAAAGCTTTCTGGGATCTGACCCTAATTACTAGAGCAGTCTCTTGCTATTTGTCTCTCTCTTCAATTATTTACAGGGCAAAAAAAGCCAAATGGCATTGCATTAGCTGTATTAAATGTTATGTACTTGGTTTGTAACTTACTAATGGTACATAAAAATTACTAAGGTAAATATGCCTATAAAACACAGCTTTTTTTTTCCTTCTTCACCTGAGTGTATGCATTTATTATTCATAGGGCTAAGTGTTGACTATGCTGTCCTTTAGGCAGCCAATGCTGCATAATTTAAACAAGTGCATTAAATATATAACACATCTAAAAGGTAGCACAATGATTATGCTACAAAATTTCTTTGAACAGCTATAACGTTTCTCACAAAACCCTAGTGCCTCTCCTAAGTTCCACAAAATAATTATATGAGATCCTCACAGGAACGAGCGATAGGTATTCTTGCAGCTACCATCTTGCTGCTCTCAGGTGACCCGATGTAGGACAAAAACTGGTAGCAGCGACAATGAGGCCCTTGCATGCTAAAAAAAAAAAAAAAAATTCTGGACTCAAGGCTGACAAGTGTCCTTTTTACATGGACAGGGCCATGTTGTAGCTACATGACAACGTGGACCACACACGTTGTAAGAAAACAAAGCTTAGCAAGGTTGAGTCATGGTTGCAACCTCCCCACCAAAAGCTCAGGCTCTACATCCATGCCTGATTCTTTTGTGCACATTAGGGCCCCAAGAGTTGTGCTAGACCTTAGAGGCTACCAGTGGCTGGTGCATCCAACTTCCACCAAATTGTGGCTGAAGCTTTCAGAGCAGCCCAATTTCCACTCTTCATCAGCCCCAAATAATTTTTTTCAAGTGAGTTCAGGAGACATCAATTTATGGTGGAAATAAGATGGGCCTACTAAACACGTACCTGAAGTCCCTAGAAAGTCAGTCGCAATCCATATGACAACATGTCATTACCTAACAGTGTGCCACCAGAGCCACTTCTGAGAAAGCACCATTGGAAATCGACCCATGGTAAACATGTAAGATAGTTTTTAAAAACAAGAAATAAGAAACAAGAGCAACTAAACACAAAGTCACTTCTTTCTATGCACTTAAATCTGCACATTGTCCCTCCCCTGTGAAAGCTACAGAGAACATTAAAAGAGACCTCAATGACTGCTGAGTGAACTTTGGCCACTTTTCGACCCAAAACACCAGCGTAAAAGTAGAAATCAGTAACCAGGTGAAGTGCCACACCACGCTGAGATCAGAGACGAGGGGCGGGTGCGCAGGGCCTGAGGCGGGGAGGAAAATGTTCCGCCGCCCCCACTCGAGCCCGAGTCCACGCGTGGGAGACAGAGGGGCGCCCGTGGGGGCGGCGGGCCCCGCGCCACTCCCAGGAAGCGTGCAGTTATGGCACGCAGGGCGAGGCCCTGGAGAAGTGGTCGGGAAGCCCGGTCACCACCCCGGGTCCCGCCGAGGGCCCCAGGCGCCGGCCGCAGTGCTTGGCGTGGGGGCGCCACTTAGCCCGCGACCCTCCCCGCCTCCCGGGCCAGGAAGGGGCCGGCGACTCTTTCCTGTCTGCCCCCCCCTCCCCTTCTGTAACCCGATCTCCGCCTTCGGCTCTCCGGGAAGCCGCCGCCCCGAGTAGCCCCGCGCAGCCTCTGCCCAGGCCGGCGCTATAGTTAGCAACCTTCCATCAACTCCGCGGGGGGCGGCTGGGGGTCCCCGCGCGCGCTCCCCGCCGGGCCCGCGCGCCCCCTTACCTTGGCTTGCAGATACTGGGGGTAGTAGTAGGTGGCGTACTGAGGGTACATCTGCTGTTTCCACACTTTGCCCATGAAGCTGGAAGGGCGCCCGCCGTGCAGGGTCGCGGACACTTTGGGGTTTCCAAGTCTCGATCTCTCCTGCCTCTCCCTTTCCGGAGGCGGCGGCGGCGGCGGCTGTAGCCGCTGCTCCACCTCCCAGCCGGGACCAGACGTCGACCTCCTCCTCTGGCTCCTGCTCCAGCTCTTGCTCCTGCTCCTGCTCCTGCTCCTGCTCCTGCTCCCACTCCCGCTCCCGCTCCTGCTCCCGCTCCCGCTCCCCCTCCTCCTCCTTCTCCTCCTTCTTTTCCTCCTCCTCCTCCTCCTCCTCCTCCTCTTCCTCCTCCTCCCAGGCAGAGAGAAAGACACTGCAGAGCGCAGAGGGCACCCCGGACAGGGCGCTCCCTAGGAGTTTCCTCCGGAGCCCTACTGCGCCGGGGCTGCCAGGCTCAGGCGCGCGGACCGCGCTCCGCTCGTGCGAGCAGGCTGAGCAAAGCCGCGAGATGATCAATACCGGTGCAAAGTGCTGCGGCGACGGCGGCGGCTGCGCTCGGTGCCAGGCGGCATCTGGGGTGGGTGCGCCCGGTGGGGAGAGGAGCGAGGGGCTGGCGGGCGGAGGCCGTGGGGGAAGGGCGGGCGGGGGCGGGGCCTGGGCGCCCGCGAGCCGGGACCCGCTGGAGGTGAGGGCTGAGTTTCAACCACTCCTCACCTTCCAGGCTGGTGGTGGGACGCACCGGAGCTCTGGGAGCCGAGATCGCTTTGTGTCTGGGTGGGGTGGCAGGGTGGGTTTGGAGGACCCAGCTTAGGAACTACGGAAGGGGGACCTCTTTTGCTTTCCAGAGTTCTTATCTTCGTAAGGGGGAAGGGAGGTAAGGGGAAAAAGGAAATCTGATTAATCTCTTACTTCCCCTCACTTCCCCATCCCCGCCCAGTGGTTCCCCCCCACCCCCAACAAGGCTAGGGAAGTGATTTAGTGCCCAGCCACCAAGCTGGACTCGGGACATCTGGGTTCTTTTTCTCCCACCCCCAGACTCCGGGCCACAACACTAATTTTCTAGGTGACCTTGGAAGGGTTATTGTCCTTCGGCTTGGTTTTCCCAGATGTGAAAGGTAAGATTGTGCCCCTGTACCGGGAGAAGCAGAGCGCGCGAGAGCGCGCGCGCACACACACACACACACACACACACACACACAAACACACACACCTCGCAACAAATTGACAGATCCTTCCCAGGGACATACTGCAAAGAAGCTGAATGTTATTAGGGGACACAATATAGACATCAGCTTTTCTCCGCCTCTTTCTAATGCCGCCAGACAGTCTGTCAACTCCCACTCAAGAGCAAGGAAACTCCCTGAGTTTGGAATATTTTAAGGCCATTTTGAAAGTCACTGTGGCATATTGTTGCAGTGTTCTTCAGTGACACATAGAATCAGTCTCTCTGTCTCTCTCCATCTCCTAATTGTCACAGCTCTAAACAGCCTCAACAGGACAGGGGTTCAGTTCTCTATATAAATGGACATAATTTAATGTAGTTAATTGGTCTCCGAATTTGATTGGACATTTATATTCTAGATCAAAAAGAGAGAATACCAAAATGTACAATATCATAGGTGAGAAAGCATACCCAAACCGGTGTCCTTGCACAGCTAATAAAATGCAATAAAATGTTTATTTATAATTAAATTGTCCTAATGACTGCGTTGTGGCATTTTAGTTTCCTTAGAGTCACTTCTTAATAGCTCAAGGTAAATAAACTGGAGTACATGATTTGTTAAACAGTCAAGTTTTTAGATGATAACATTTTAAAACAAGTTTAGTAACATTCTTTAAAACACTAAAGTGAAACACATGTTATCCTTGTATGATTTGGGCAAATTGCTAGGTCATTTTTTGACAAAAGGAAAATAGCTATGTTTCATAGGAGAACAGGTCGGACATTCCAGAAAGCAAATCATGCACCTCTTGGTTTGCCCAGGCAGGATCCTATAGGAAAACTAGTTTGTACCCAGTTTCTGCACTCCTGTGGGCACTGGTGAAGTTAATGCCAAACTAATAGGTGGAATTGTTCACTGTCTGTTTGGGAGAGCTTTTAAAAAAATCCTTATGTTGCCTCACCAGGGATTCTTTAACGTTGTAACGTGAACTAACTGGCATCTTAGGAACCTAAGTAGACTGGGCATAGTGGTTCAGACGAGTGACAAACAGAAGAGAAATAAATTAAGAATAATCTCAATAAATCTAGGTTCCAAGGGACACAGGAAATTACCAAACTTAGACTGTTCTACTTACTGGTTTTTTTTCTAGATGATGAAAATTCAGCCTGTTTTAGAGAACCCAAAAGTAGAGACATACTTGTACAGACTTTTGATTTATGACTGAGTTGTTATTACAGAGCAGTAGAGAAAGAATGAATTTTTCAACAAATCATTTTTCAGGATTCTGGGTCAATTGGAAATCCTTACGGAAAAAATGAAATCAAAGCCTGGCCTCACAAATACCAAAAATAGGGAGAGAATTCAGGTGATTTAAAGACCTAGATGTGAAAAGCAAAACTATGAAGTTACTAGAATACAATACAGGGAAATAGCTTTTTTTTTTTTTTTTTTTTTTTTTTATTTTGGATTGAACTCAGGCCCTTGTGCTTGCCAGGCAAGCTTTAAGAAAAAAAAAAAACCTTGATGTAGACGAAGATTTCTTTAAGGGCAGGCCAGATAGCTCAGCAGATTAAAGTGCCTGTAAGCAGGCACAGGGGCCAGGAGTTTGATCCCTGGGCCTGCCATGACATCCCTCCTCCCCCCCCCCCCATTGAGACAGCAATTGAGACTGGGCATGGTAGTGCATGCCTGTAATCCCAGCACTTGGGAGGCTGTAAACAGGAGAGTCACTATGAGTCCAATCTAGTAGTGAGACCCTGAACACCCTGTAGACCCTTCCCTAAAATGCAGAAAAACAAACTCCAAAGATTTCTTTAGTAAGGTGAGCAAGAGTGCAAGGTTGTTAAATTTACTCATATTAAAATTAAGAACCATAGTTCACATATTCTATAAAGAATGGTAAAACAAACCACAAGATAGTTATAATACAAATAACTAGAAAAGTTTAATATACAGCATATATAAAGAATTCCTTGGGGTCAGTAAGGAAAAGAGAATATGTTAGTCTAGCAATAAATGAATGAATGTGTATTTCACAAAGGAGAAAGCACAAATGTCAAGCAAACAAGTGAAAAATGCTAACACTTACTAGAAATTAATAAGGCAAATACAAATTAAAATAATAATAAAATGCCTCTTCATAATTACTGATAGGTTGGCAAATGTGGAGAATTTGAAAATTAGTAAGAGTAAGTGAAGATCCAAGTTCAATCCCCGGTACCACAAAAAGAAAAAAGAGCAAGTGAAGATGTGTAAGAGGAGAAATTATCTAAAATACTGCTTGCCATTTGAAGCATAATTGCTATGACCATCACTTTAGAATATACAGTAGATTGTCATTACTCAACTTTACTTGCATGTATAGCACAATGATATTACCAGTATACATCATTTATATTTTATGAAAAAATAAAACAAAATTTCATAACAAAATAATAAGAAAATAACCTACTTCATACACTGTGTTTACAGTTTATGTGTTCGGTACTCAGAGTACAGAACCAAAAAGATTCTTACAAAAAAACTAAACAGATTAGAGCACAAACTTGCTTTTCAGTGATCTAAGATACATGAGTAGTACAGATGAAATGAATTACTATATATATTAAAATATTTTTGAAACAACAAAATAAGTAATAGAGGAAGTATTTGAATTTCACCATACTTTTCACTTACCTTCTATTTTGCTCTTTATTGGGGTGTGTGTGTGTGTGTGTGTATATATATATATATATAATTACAGGAATGTATGCATACCAATGCTTAGGGCAGCAAATTTATAATATCTAGATCCTGGAACTAGCATAGATTTTAAAGAAATTCTTCTATACATGCACCAGAAGGAAATACACAGTAATATTAATGATACATTGGATATAACTTAAATGTCTACTAGGATAGATATAAAGGTTATAATATGTACACAAAATAGAACACTGCAGCAGCAAAAATGAATCATAGTTAAATACATCAATATGGAGCATTTCAAAATTAATGTTAAAAAAATGGAATTTGTAAAGTATAATTTTATTTATGTATAGGTCAAAATCAGAAAGCAACTAAACAGTATATTTGGTAAGAATATGCACAGGAATAACTTTTTTTTGAAAAAGAAAAACAAGGAGATAAGAGCACAAAATTCACAATTGAGTGGTCCAAAGGAGACTTAAAGAAACGACAATGTTCATATTGCACTCTGCATGGTAGATATAGAAATATATTTCAATGTTTCTCTTTAACAATCCATGGGATAGTTCATGTGTTGCTGCATTTCATGCTAAGATAATTTTTTTTAAAAAATCAATTTTTACTTTTAAACATAATGACTTTCGAGTAACTAGAAAAGCAGAGAGAAGTGGATAATAACTTCTATTTCTAACATTTAGCTTCAATCTTTGTTAATCATTTGTAGTTCCTGTTACACACACACGCACGCACGCACGCATGCACACCATTTTATTTTCCTGAAGTACTTTAAAGGATTACAACTTTGAGCCCAGTCTTGGCAACTTAGTGACTTAGTGAGACCCTATCTTAAAATATAAATTCTAAGCATCATAATTTTGTCAATAGTCCATTAACAACAAGTGTTCTATAAAATACCCTTATCACACCTAAACAAATTTAACAGTTTGTTAATGCCAGCTAATACTAAGTGATAGCCCTTTTTTTTTTCCTAATTGTCCAAAAATTACATTTTGAGTTTGTTTATTTAAGTCATAGTGAAACAACATCACACACTGGATTTTTTTTTTTTTTTCCCCCAGTACTGGGGATTGAACTCAGGACCCTGGCTTATTCTACTGCCCTATCTCCCCGCCCGCCCCACACTGGATTTTATTTATATGCATCTTAAATCTCATCAACATATAAAAGTTCATACACACACACCCCATTTTTAAAGTAGATATTTATCTGTTAGAAGAATTTGGGTTATTTTTCCTATAGACTTTCCAATTTGCTGCTTGCAACTTCTTGGTAATGGTTAGTTCTAGAGTTTTGATTAGATGCAGATTCACCTTTTGGCCAAAAGTACTTCCTTGATGGTACTCAGCAAACAGAGAATGTGGTGTGC